CAATGACAATGATGATGATAATGATATGATGATGACGATGACGATGACAATGATCACAATGATGACGATGATGATGCTGATGATGATGGTGATGATGATGACAATGATGATGATGGTGATGATGACGATGACAGTGATGGTGATGATAATGATGATGATGACGATGACAATGCTGATGATGATGAAGACGCTCGCGCTGCCAGGCTCTCTGAAAGGAAGACGATAAATCGCTGCCTCTCCCAACCTCTTCCCTGTGCCGAGGGCGAGCAGCGGCCGGGCCAGGCTGCCCTGGGAGCGCGGCGGTGACAGTGGGGATGGCACCAAGTGTGGCTCGCAGGGGGCCCCTCCTGGCCAGCAGCCAGCACTGCCACCTCGCTGCAGTGCCACCACCTCCCTGTCACACCCCTGCCACCGCCCCGCACTGCCATCCCCTGTCTCCCTGTGCCACTCCTGCCACCCCTGTCACCACCCTGGACTGCCACCGTGTCCCTGCTCTCGGGGCATGGGCAGCGCCTTCAGCGCCCGACGGGCACCAGCACAGGGGCTTCAGGCTGGACTTCACAACCAGGACCTGCCTGAGGACAGCTCTGACACTGCCCTGGGAACAGCCCTGAGCGTGGGATTGACCTGCTCTGACCCGAGTCAGAATCATGGAATCACAGCAGGGTTTGGGTTGGACAGACCCTAAATCCCACCCATTCCCAGCCCTGCCATGGCAGGGACACCTCCCACTGTCCCAGGAGCTCCCAATGTCCAGCCTGGCCTTGGGCACTGCCAGGGATCCAGGGGCAGCCCCAGCTGCTCTGGCAATTCCATCCCAGCCCCTGCCCACCCTGCCAGGGAACAATTCCTGCCCCAGATCCCAAGATCCAGCCCTGCCCTCTGCCACTGGCAGCCATTCCCTGGCTCCTGGCCCTGCAGCCCTTGGCCCCAGTCCCTCTCCAGCTCTCCTGGAGCCCCTTCAGGCCCTGCAAGGAGCTCTGAGCTCTCCCTGGAGCTTCTCCTCTCCAGCTGAGCACCCCCAGCTCTCCCAGCCTCAGGTGACCCACTGAGCTCTCTTGGCCTTCAGTCAGGTGGGGTCGGGGCTGTGGCTCACCTGTGCAGGTCCCTGTGCCCAGCTGGGACTGGCTTAGGGACACTCCCTGTGTGGAAACAGCTCAGGTCCGGTGTCCAGGAGCTTTCTGGCGCTGTTTGACTCACTTTGCTCCCGGCTGTTCACAGCTCTGGCCAGGATGAGCCCCAGGGGGCCCTGCCTCTGTGACGGAGCCTTTGGAGTGTCCCACCCTCTGGTGATGATCACAGGGGACCCCATGGCAGGAGGCAAACCTGGATCAATGCTCCATGCTGTGCTTTTCCCAGCTGCCCAGCTGCTGAGGCTCTCAGGGATCCCGTGTGCTCCACACTCAGCTGCAGGAGCAGCCTCAGCTTCCATGGAAACCCAGAGTGAGCCCGCAGGAATTCAGATTCCGAGTGTCAGTCAGGAGCCATTCCCTGAAGGTGCCACATGCTGGGAGCTGGGAACGCAGGGCTGTCCAGTCTGCTCAGAGCTGTGGTGGGAGCAGAAACAGAGACACTGGGGGAAACCACGAGGATTGTAGGGGAAAACCACAATTTGGTGGAGGTGACAGAGTGGAAAAAGCACCCGAGCCTGGCACCCAAACTGGGAGATGCTGTCAAACCCAGCATGAACCAGACAGCAGAGGACAAGAGACCTTTGGGCCAGGGAAAACCTCTTCACCTGAACATCCCCGGGTGGTGGCAGAGCTCTCCAGGAGGACCCAGCCAGAGGGCACAACCTCTGCTTCTTTTCCATTTTGATGTTTCCTCTCAGGGGCTGAGGCTGCAGCACTTGGAGCTGGAGCGCAAAGCCAAGGGACAAACTCCCTAAACTGGGGGTTCTGATCGGGGCTTGAGACCCTCCCTGTGCTGCCAGGGGCAAACCCAAGCACCTCTAGACTGGCACTTTTCCCAAATGCCCCGACTTTGGGGTTTGTTTGGCACCACAGCCTGGCCGTGTGGCCACACCGGCGGGCACCGATGTCCCTGGCACTGTCACCATGGTGAGGGACCCCCGTTACCCAGCGCTGGTGCAGCACTGGCACTTCCCAGTTCCCAGACCTGGTGCCAGCTCCTTCTCCTCCGGTTTGAGTACCGAGAGGGATGGGAGCTGCTCCAAAGCCAAAGCCCACAGCCGCTGTCACGCTGTCCCCAAAGGGTCTAAAGCTGCTTCTGCCCGTGCTGCTGATGCTGGGATGCCCAACCTCTCAACCACAACACTCACCCAGACCCCCCTTCCTCTGCAGCAGTTCCACCTCTTCCAGCCTTTAATCAGAGTATTTGCTTTGGTTTATGTCAATTTTTAAGTATTTCATTATTTCCACAGTACCTTTGGTTGGGTTATTTTACTTGAGCCCTCCCCCTGCAGCCAGCAATTTTCCCTAGGTACTTTGGCTCTTTTTTCCTAATGATATTAATGTCATAATTAGCTCTCAGCCTGACTAACCCTGAGCACCCTCTGTGTGTAATGTGTCTGTGCTTACCAACCCCTGCCAGATCAGGGCTGGTTTTTCCCCAAGTCGTGCTCCCCCGTGACTCACCCAGTAAATCAGAGTCGCACAAGGCTTGGGTTGGTGTCTCCAGGTTCCATCCTGTCCTGTTTTCTACAGGTCCTGGATTCAAACCCGGCAATTCCCCCATCCCCTCGCTGCAGCACAGCTTTGGGTGAGCAGGGACCCAGCAAGGGGCTCTCCTCTGCCTCCTCAGACCACTGCACCCCAACTCTGGGGGGCCCTGGGGGAGACCTTGGCCATCTCTGAAGCGATTCACGCCTTTCCTGGCTGTTCTGGCTGTACACAGCAGCCAGGTTTGCAGGGATATCCCCCCGAGCCCAGGAGCAGCCCCCTGCCCCCAGCTCTCCCTCAGCCTCATCAAAGCCATTCCAAACCTTCCAGCACTTAATTTCTGCCAGGTGTCTGAGCCCGGGCTGAAATGAATGAGCAGCTCCACATCTCCAACCTCCAGGTGCTGCTGTGCGTGGGGACGAGGTCTGCAGGGCAGAGGGAGCTGCCCAATGAATGCTAAACCCAAAGAGCTGCTCAGCAGTATTTTCTGCTTTTACTGAGTTTGACTTCAATGCTTGTGGGGAAAAAAAAATCCTGGGCAATGCAAGGACTCCAGGGAGTTAGTGTCTTCCTATCTTCCCCCGGCATAACAGCCTCATTTTTTATGGAACACAAATGAGTTCTGTGCAGACAGGGAGGTCTGGGAGCGCCTTCCTGTATTTGCCAGCTGATATTTCTAAGTGTCTACAGAAAGTTGGGAGGACCATGGAGTGATGCATAAAAAACTGCAATTTTTAAAATAGGAAAATAGATGGGAAAGGGCCTGGGAGTGGGGGAGAGCTCCTTGTTTTCCTGCTGCATTGCGGCTGCAGAGTTAAGGATCTCCGTTAGGCTTTGCTGCCATAAATTAAGAAGCATCAAACACACGGAGACAAAAGGCAAGGAAAAAAGTCAGAGATCTTCCAGCTCCAAGTCAGGGCTCCAGGAGAATCCCTGGCCAGAGCGCACAGCTTCAGTGAGGGGACAAACCTGGGCCCAAGAGCCAGCCAAGGGCTGTTCTCAGCCTGGAGCAGGAGGGATTTCAGGTGATCTTGACAATGGGGCAGAGCCCAAAATCCACCGTGTGACACCCAGGCAAAAGCAGGGGAAGTTCCAAACTGTGGGAAAAACACAGATTCCAAAGGGAGGAGTCCCATGGAGCATCTCTCCCCAGAGGGAATGAAGAGCAGGTTCTGTGGGCAGCTCTTGGAATAGCGCCTGGATCTGGCTCCAGGCACACATTCCCAAGGCCACGCTGAGCTGGGGCTCAGCCAGAGGCTCCTGCCCGTGCCAGGTGTCCCTGGGACTGCGGGGACAGGGTCCCATCTCCCCTGACAGCCAGGATTCCCTTCCCTGGATTCCCCAGCATGCCCAGACCTGCAGCAGAGGATCAGCACTGTGGGGTTCAGTGGCAGGGACGCTGCAGGGACATCCTGACCAGCAGACAGTGCCTGCACCGGGCAGCTTTCAGCTCTGGGATGGTTTCCCCAGGAATGAGGTGGAGCTAGCACACAGGAGAGATCCAGTCCTGGGAGCAGCACCAAGACACAAAGCTGCTCAAACAGGCCTTGGAGAGGAAAACCTGAGCAGGGCTGTGCTACATTAGGGGTGCTGCCAGGGAGGATGGGCAGTGGGACACTGACAGGAGCTGCCCTGGAGCTGGCAGGTCCTGGAGCTACCACTCAGCCAGATGTGACACATCCCACACAGCTGGAGACGGAATAACTCCCAGCTTCCACAATGTCCAGTTCTGGGCCCTCATGACAAGGACATTGAGGGGCTGGAGCGTGTCCAGGGCAGGGAACGGAGCTGGGAAGGGTCTGGAGCCCCAGGAGGGGCTGAGGGAGCTGGGAAAGGGGCTCAGCCTGGAGCAAAGGAGGCTCAGGGGGCCCTTGTGGCTCTGCACAAGTCCCTGGCAGGAGGGGACAGCCGGGGGGGTCGGGCTCTGCTGCCAGGGAACAGGGACAGGAGGAGAGGGAACGGCCTCAGGCTGGGCCAGGGGAGGCTCAGGGTGGACAGCAGCAGGAATTTGCCCATGGAAAGGGAGCTCAGGCCTTGGCAGGGGCTGCCCAGGGAGCTTTGCAGTGCCCATCCCTGGAGGTGCCCAAGGAAGGGCTGGACGTGGTGCTGTGACACCCCAATGCACACAGTGAGCGCTGCTCTGGGGCAGGGAGCTTTGGGGACACTTGGGGAGGTTTGGGGACATCTGGGGACATTTGGGGAGGTCCGGGGACATTTGGGGAGCATTGGGGAGATTTGGGGACGTTTGGGGACATTTGGGGACGTTGGGGGCTCAGCCCGGGACACGGGGGGGGGGCGCGGTCCCAACGGCCCCGGCCCCGCTGCGGCCGCGCCACCAGCGCCCCCCGGCGGTGCCGAGCGGAACTGCAGGAGAGTCGGGACCGGGCCAGAACCGGGACAGAATCGGCACCGGGACCGGGCCAGAACCGGGACAGAATCGGCACCGGGACCGGGCCAGAACCGGGACAGAATCGGCACCGGGACCGGGACAGAACCGGGACCAGGGTTCGAGAGCTGGGACAGAACCGGCACCGGGGACGTTCGGCTGTCACTGCTCCCGGTACCGGGGAGTGCGGGAGGGAGTTTTTGGCAAAGCACACCTTGTGACGGCCCCGGCGGTCCCAGCTCCGCTGCCGCATCTGCTCCGCTTCGACAAACACAAATCCCTCCCGCAGCACCGGGAGCTCTGCCGGTGCCGGTTCCTTGCTGCTCTCCGCCCTTTCCTGCCGTGTCCGCAGCGCTTCCCGTTTCTGCGGCTTCCCAAAGCCCGGGGTGCTCCCCTGTCCCTGGGACACCACACAGAGCCCGGGGTGCTCCCCTGTCCCGGGACACCACACAGAGCCCGGGGTGCTCCCCTGTCCCGGGACACCACACAGAGCCCGGGGTGGCTGCACAGTCCCGGGACACCACACAGAGCCCGGGGTGGCTGCACAGTCCCGGGACACCACACAGAGCCCGGGGTGGCTGCACAGTCCCTGTGGTCCCTGTCCTTCCCCCGCACAGCGCCACAGGGCCGGCTCTCCTGCCGGACATGCACGGATAATTCCACACCACCCCCTGCAATTTAAGCCAGCTGTGACAAAGTTTGAGGGGACTGCTGATTATTATTGCTAATCCTACAAATTCCTAAAATTTCAGATCACAGAATTCACAGCACTGTGAGGCCCAGAAAAGAGGTTTACGTTTCCTTCACACGGTTTGGCAGCTGCCGGTGCCCTTGCACAGCTGTGCTCATGGTAACTGGCGCTCCTGGCTTTAAGAGGAAATGCAACACCTGAGCTGCTCCTGCCCTTCCAGGGCTTTTGGGTTGACAAGATAAGGTGGCAGTCGGCTTCCCCAAAAGTCAAACAGGTTGTTGATTAGAGGATGTGGCTGGTTATCAGCTGTGTTTATTGTGGACTTGCCTCAGAGGCTGCCTGAGGGGGTGCTCGGTGTGCTAGAAAAAGAATAAAGAGGAAAAGTTGACAAGATGAGAAATTCAGCCTCTACCTCACCTGTGCATTGGCTCAGCTTCATGGACCTGCTGCAGGTGGCATTTTGAAGGAGTCTGCAAGAGAGATGCAGACTTTGGATAGGGGATGGAGAGATGGGACAAGAGGGAATGCCAGAGGGCAGGGCTGGATCTTGGGATCTGGGGCAGGAATTGTTCCCTGGCAGGGTGGGCAGGGGCTGGGATGGAATTGCCAGAGCAGCTGGGGCTGCCCCTGGATCCCTGGCAGTGCCCAAGGCCAGGCTGGGCATTGGGAGCTCCTGGGACAGTGGGAGGTGTCCCTGCCATGGCAGGGTGGGATGGGTGGGATTTAAAAGGTCCTTCCCAAGTCGAACAGTTCTGTGGTTCTGTGACCAGTCTGGGCCCCAACCCCTCTCCTGCCCGGGGGATCAGCAGCTCCAGCTGGCAGCTGAGGGTTTCTTGCTGTCAGAGAACACTGAGAAACTGCCCCGCTGGCCTGGCACGCACAGAGCCCTGGGTTCTCCTGCCTGGCACAGCACAGGACATCATCAGCCTGCTCTTCTTCATCACCTTGAAGCTCTTGCATTCAGTGGGAGGTGAGGAGAGCTGGGCTTTGCTGGGAACCTGTCCCTGCTCAGCTGCAGTGACATCCAGAGAGCCACGGCCAGCAGAGACACGGGGCTGGCAGCCCTGAGGTGCTGGGTGTGCCGTGCAGAAACTGGCACAGGACCCTCTCCACACCAAGAGCTGCAGCCATGAATGGTGGCTCAGTTTCCCTGGGGAGGGTCAGGTGTGACCAACTCCCACCCCACAGGA